AGTAAAAATGGTTTTGGGCCTCTCAGCAACATACTCTGTTCCAAAGGCCAAAAATGTCAAAAGTATTTGGGAGATTTATCTAATCCCTAAAAGACTGTGGGGTTACCTTTTCAGAGGGGGTAATGTTAGAGTATCAAAAAGCCCCATTAAAAAAAAGAAGAAAGAATACATGAAGTTATCAGAAAAAAGTGATGGGGAGATATGGGAGGAGTTGGAGGGGAGGGAGTGGGCATGAATTTGATCAAAACACCTTATATGCATGTATGAAATTCTCAATTATTTATTTAAAAATTTTGTTTTTGGCAAGGATATGCAAGAAATCAATAAACTCAATACGCAATTCAAGGAAATACCTTCAGAAAATAATTGCTGGGTATTTAAAAAATTTATATCTTTTTTGTTTGTTTTTTGTCCTTTTGAGACAAGGTCTCCCTGCAGCCCCAGATGGCCTGGAACTCACTATGTAGACCAGGTTGGCCTTGATCTCACAGATATCCACCTGCCTCTGCCTTCCGAGTGCTGGGATTAAAGACATGTGCCACCACACCTGGCAAAAAAAATTTTGTATCTTCAATAATTTCAAAACCAGAAATCTAGCTTGTTTTATACCAAAAATTAAAATCTCATAGGTTTCTCTGAGGTCATGACTATGAATTATTTCTGTGCAAGATTATCACCACAGTTGGCCTCTGAAGTCCATAGCTGGGACTTAAAAGTCAAAATGCCTGTTCTTAGTCTCTGCCCTTGCAGTTTTGTCTGGGGCAAGTTATCTAGAATTTCCATGCCTCAGTTTCTTCCTCTATAGAGATGATTAAATATGGGTGCTTCTGAGGTTTGCTGTGAGGGTTCAGGTAAAATACTTAGAATAGTGCACTAGAAGGGAATCCAAGTCAGCTACAGAAACTGCACCTACAGGGACAGATGCTGGTCTACTGTCAGGCTAGGGAGCTTAATTTTAGGAAGATCCATATAGCATTAGGGTTGAAGGGCTACCATGCATCATTTAGCTCCATCTGTTCCACTAGATGCTCAGCCTCCTCTGTGACTATCTTTCAAGAAGTGACTGAGTAGTCACCGCTTCAACAGTCATTGAACATGAGGGTAGCAGTGCCACCCTGAGCTGCTTTAATTATCAGTAAGTTCCTGAGCTCTAACCTACCTTTCTTCCTGTTCTGAAAGCCATCTTCCCAGGAGCCCACACTAGAGCTGGAGCCCTTCCCATGACAGCTGCCAGGGATCCGATTGACTGATTCTCCCCCAGAATAAGACTTCACAGCACTGGGAGGTGCTAGCTTCCTTGATTTTGCAACAATCCACACCTGGACTAGGTAATCATTTTTATACAACTGCTAAAAATATAGCCTGAAATACTTTAAAAATGCAAGTGAATTTAAAACTTAGGTATTTGTATATATTTCTTCAAAGAGTCTATCTGTCAAGTAGATAGGAAGTCTCATAACTTCATAAACTTATTTTCTTGTCTCCAATTTTTTTTAAGACTTTGGAGCAAGAGGTTTTTGTGCAGGAAAAGCACTAGGTGGACAGAAAAATGTAATAGCGGCAGCAGCAAAAGGCAGTTTATTTTTGTGTCTAGCTGAATTTCACTTCTTTGGGCTGACAGCCTCAGATTTCCATGCAGGATAAATCTTTAATATTTTTATTCCTATTATCTGGAGGGGATAACATTCAAGTGTCATAAGGCAAAGCAGGGGAAGGCAATGTGAGGGTAACAGTATAAGAGGAAAATGAAATGGTATTTCCTGGATTTTCACAGAAACAGAGGTCATGTTTACAGATTTGTCCCATTCCCTGTGTATCTAAATATAGCTCCAAGCATTAAAAAGGCATGTTGGAAATAAGTGTAATTCAAAGCATTACTTCCAAGTAGAAGACACTAGGTACACACCTCACTTACAGGTGCTGTTGATGTCTATATGAAATAGAAGGTTTGCCCCTGGCAATGACCTTCCTTTCATTTCTTATCCACTTTCTTTGGAGGGTTCGTTCTTCTGAATCAACCACACTTCGTTATTTCTATTGACTAACTGGAAAGGACTGTTGTAGCCTGCAGTATAGAAGACCCTTTCATCAAAAACTTTTCCTTCTTCCCTCAAAATGCTTGCTAATGTCAAAAGTTGTTCTTGATTCTTTTGGCCACTTGAGAATCCATCGAAAGACCTATAGAGGAGAAAGTAAGAAAACAGGAGTTATTTTAATACTGATAAGAATGCTAACCTGGGAAGAACAGCAGGAACGGGGCCCTGAAAGCTGGTGAAGCAGCCTCCAGGGAGCCACACTCACCTTTTCCCGTGGTTCCTAGACTTGTTGGACCTGAGGGTCACCTCAGAGATCTAGGAGGAGGCCTAAGTCCCATCCTCTGACAGAAGGATTTGGAACTTACACCATGTCATGTGGTTGAACATGTACACAAGTCACCCTGGAATCTCATTAAAATGCACATTCATGAGGTCTGGGGTAGGGCCCGAGTGTATTACTAGGAAGTTCCCAGCTAATGTTGCTGTTTAGAGGGCCACACAGGACCCCTTCAGATGCTCCTCTTCCAGATTCAAGTTCCTTCCTTCCTTCCTTCCCTCCCTCCCTCCCTCCCTCCCTCCCTCCCTCCCTCCGCTCCTCCTTTTCTCCTTTCCTTTCTGTCTTACTATACAGTTTGGACTGGCCTCAAAGTCACTATGTAGCACAGGGTCTTGCTATATAGCTCAGACAGCCCTCAGAGTCACTATGGAGCCTAGGCTAGTCTCAAACCTATGATCCTGCTGCTTGAGTCTCCCAGTGCTAGCATTATGGAAGTGTGCCATCATGCCTGACTCTGTGTTGTTTCATACTTTTTGAGTCTTACTCAGTTGCTCCGGCTAGCTCCAGCCCACCAGGCTTAAGTTATCCTCTGCTTCAGCCTCTCAAATAGCCTAAACGACAAGAGTATGCCAACAGACCCAAGTCAGTCAATTGAATGCTCCCCTTTTTTTCTTCTTCTGGGTCAAAGTGTACACAACGGATTACAGATGAATACGATATAGTTTAGAAGCCTACATGTTCATAGTCCAATGGAAGAGATCAACATTTTGGCAGCTCTATTTATACATCCAGAGAAATGTTTTAACAGAGATGGGATCAAAGTGCTCTGGGAATACTGAAGACATGACTAAATCCAGGATAACGGTGTCATTTGAGTAGGTCCTGGGACGAAGGATGGTTTTTCTGAACAACGAAAGGGGAGGGATGAGGAAAGGAACAGATGCTGAAAGTACAAAGCACTGTCACAGTGAGACATCAAATGAGGTCAGAAAGGAGAGTCGAAGCCAGAACAAAGAACTTGACACATTAGTGTAGACCTTTAGGGATTATGCCAAAGGATGATGAGCAAGCAACTTGATCAGATCTGGATAAGAACATGGGCAGAAAGATGGAACAGATTAGAGGGAGGAAGTTGCTGGAAGGATGGAGAGGAAGGGACTGAGTTGAAATAAAATATGGAAAAGACATTAAAGTTTATTTTAAAGTACATAAATAAAAATATCCTGAAATGAAGTCACAATAACACACTGGCCCTGAAATGAAGTCACAATAACACACTGGCCCTGAAATGAAGTCACAATAGCACAGTGGCCCTGCTAAAATGCAGGACATGCCAAGCACAGTGATTGTGATTTTGAAAGTTATAAATTTGAAACCTTGAGAAACAGATATACTCCTAATACATTTCTTTGGTGTAGGTTTTATTATGAATGCATCGCTGCAAAAAAATAAAAAAATCAATCTGACTACTTCAGATAAGATATAATCCTTCAAAGAACAGCATAGGCCATGTCTATTTTATTCAACAATGTCTCCACATCCTTAGAGTCATTCTTGGCCTGCAGTTCCCTGTAAGTCCCCCATTGAGTGAATACGAGCATCTCCGTACAAGCATACGCAGAATAAAACCTTTCTTGCTTGTTTATTTTTTGTATTCTGTCTTTTTGAGACAGGGTCTCCTTGTAGCCCCAGGTGGTCTGAAACTCACTATATAGACCTTGAACTCACAGAGATCCACCTGCCTCTGCCTCCCAAGTGCTAGGATTAAAGGCATGGATCACCATGCCTAGCTCTTATATTTAAAGTTTTTATCTATTAATTTTTTAATGTGTGCTGTTTTGCCTACCTGTATGCTGGTGCACCGTGTGTGCAAAGCCCACGGAGGACCAAAGAGGGCATCAGATTCCCTGAGACTGGAGTTATAGACAGTTGTTAGCTGCCACATGGATGCTGGGAACCAAACGCAGGTTCTCTGTAAGAGCAGCCAGTACTCTTAACCACTGAGCCATCTCTCCAGCCCCTCCTTGATTTTTCTTTAACTTCCTTAATGAACTGCCAGCACTATGTTCAGCCTAAAGGGAATTTGGTTTCAGATCCCATTTTTTCCTTAGAAAAAAATCTTGAACCCCATAATTAGAACTTATCTTCTGTCCTCTGGAGATATCTAGTGATCTATGCACTGATTTATTCCTGTCATAAATATATACTGCACCTCTCAGACCCTATGTGCCTGCCTTGCTGTGTGATACACTGTCATATTTTTGAGTAAGTTTCAGCCTATGAGTAGGACATAACAACTTAGAATAATAACAGGAAGAAGGACATCAAGGACAGTGGCTGGCTGGAGAAACCGAGGAGGGATGGCAGAGGAGAGTCTCCTGCCCTATAGGACAAAACCAGGCTCTTCAGGAAGAGAAAACAGGTATTTGAACTAGTGGTATAGGATGTGGGTGTTCTAAGTGTTTACATCAATTTGCTCAAGTGATCTTCCTGGTCCCTGTTTGAGATGAACACATATGGTGATTATACAGTTTACCGTGAGGAGATTTCACAGGGAAAAATTGGGTAATGTACTGGGGCTGAAGGTAAAGAGAAACAGAAGAATGTAGCATGCTCTGTGACGGGTCGGAGGCTTAGTGGAGGGTAAGCAGTGGGTAGGGAGGCTACAGAGCAGGGTGGGTACCTGGCATTGTGGGCTATGTGAACAACGTGAACCTTTGGCAACAAGAGGACAGGGATTGAGGATTTCAAATGAAGCACCAGATGGTGGTGGTGGGTGGAGTTGTTGGAAGATATATCACAGTTGTAATGTGGAACAGTGGAGAAAAAGACGGTGGCACCAAGAACAGACACAAGACTACTGAAATGAAACAGTCTAGAAGAAGTCCACTGAGACCAAGAGACAATCCAGTATTTACTCGGAGTGTCCACCACTGTGCCAAGAATTGGGGTATACAAAGATGACTCAGCCATGGTCCTGATGGGGATCTAAAGAGATAACAATAAAGGCGGACAGAAGAAAACAAAGCCAGAAGTCATTTTGAGGTGAATGGCCTGATCTAGGGATCAGCTGTTCAGGAAGCAGGTGCTGATGAGGACCATGAAGTTCTTTGCTGGGGAGACTGTAAGGTTAGTGTGGTCCTTACTGAAACAGGCACTATAGGATCAAAGAAGGTATGGGTACAGAGGAAGACTCACTTTTAGAGTTATTGGGTTTGATCACTCAACCCGCATCCCCAAATGGAGATGGAACACAGAAGGGAAATCACATATGGAGACTCTCACTAGATTTGAAAGCCCCTAGGCACAGGGGGTTGAAGCACAGTGAAGGGATCACCCAGAGTAAATCTTCTGTGAAATGATGATCAATGATGTGTATCAACAGTGATTCCTGGGGTACAGGCCAGTATGAAGCCAAGAAGCAAAGACACAGGAGATGAAGGACAAGAGAATGACATTTTTAAAGTTAAAGGATAAACAAATATCAAGGAAGCAGACTGGTCAACACATGGATGCTGCAGGCATCACATGGTAGAAAATTTTGACCATGTGACACATGCAAAGGCACCGCTGATAGGGGGCAGAGCAGATCCAAGGAGATGGTCAGAGTTGTGGCAGATCGTAAGGGTTTTGAAGTCTCAGAAAGATAAGAGAATATGTTATAGAAACCAGAGGACACAGATTCTATAAGCTGGCGAAGAACCTGGCTAAATTTTGGCCCTGTCCTAATAATATGTGGTTAATGGAACTTGTTAGTGATTAAATAGGACCTATGGCTGGACAAATTTCTAAGTAAAGAGTTGGGGGTATATATTGACTTCTCTTGAACTGTTATAGTACAAAAGAAAGAAAAACAATTTAAAGATAAAATGTTTACTCAAAAGTGAAACAGAATACATCAGGTATGGTGGCACATGCCCTTAATCCCAGCACTCGGAATGCTTGTGGATCTCTGTGAGTTCAAAGCCAGCCTGGTCTACATACTGAGTTCCAGTCTAGCTGGGGCTACAGGGAGACCCTGTCTCAAAAAAAAAAAAGCCCCCCCCCCGAAAAACAACAACAACAACAACAACGAAGAGCAGAATTTAAAACTTCAGAAAATCCTTAGCCTATCCATAATGAACGAAATGAAAAAGAAAACTTGTTCAGGAAAAAAGAGGACTGGAGCCAAGAAACCCCTTTAATGACACGATTAGTCTATACCTAAGCCAGGACTTAGTTCCAAGTATGACCTCAAAGGCACATCAGAGGTTAGCCAGGAGACCCTCCCATCACAAGCCTAGAGAACCAGTTAGCACGTAGGAAGAACAATTTCAAAGGAGGGCCTTGGGCACCTGTGGGACCCTAGAACTCAATGCCTAGTGCAACTGCAAAGGTCTGTTCCAGAGCAGCATTCCTTAACCACTCCAGTTTGGCCTCCGTGGGCCAAGGTACATCATAGGTTGTGACGGCCAGCCCTCTGGAGGGCACAGGGAGTAACTTTTGGCGGCATTCACACAGTGCCATCTCTGCTAGCTCAAGCAGTACATGAGCAATGGAGTACAGTGCATGGCTACCTTCCCCTAGATTTCGAAAGATGGAGCTTCTTAGAGACTCAAGTACATGAACAAGGTAGAGGGCAAAAACAAAGGTTGGACCACAATAGAGTCCTCACCAGGGCCATTCCTATTGGAGCAGTGGGAGAGGTCACACCAGACTGAAGAGTTACTGTTTGCAATTCCAGCCTGGTATAAGCTGCAAGTAGGTGATTCTAAACCATGATAACTTTGCTGGGGTTGTGGGCACACAAAGTCATGAGGTATAGCTGCTTGGAGCACTGACGTCTAACTCCTGTCTACCAAAGCTTCAGAAGTTTGACTTCCACCCCAGTGGGCCCTCAAGGGCAGAGCCTTGAGTCAAAGATTAATCTCAAGTCTTAAGATGTTGGTTTTGATTGGGGCATATTATCAATTCTCTATTTTTCCCATTTGGAATAGGGGTGTCCATCCCATGCCTGTCCCACTGTTGTATTTTGGAAGCTCATAACATGTTTGACTTCACAGGCTCACAGCTGGAGAGAATTTGCTTCAGGGTGAATCATGCTTTGAGTTTCAGCCAGATTTGATTTGGATGATATTTAAATCAGACTTGGATGTTAGACTTTTGAATCAATGCCAAAATGAGCTAAGATTCTGGGCACGATTGGGATGGAAAGAACGTATTTTTTTATGTGACAGGGACACAAAATTTATGCTGTTAGGGACAGAATGCTGCGTACTACATGTCTGTGTTCCTCTCAAACTGATATGTTGAACTTCTAATCACAAGTGTGATGGTTCTAGGAGCCTTTGGAGGATAATTCAGTCATGAGGGTTGAGTTCTCCTTAAGGGGAGTATTGGCCTTATAAAAGAGAATGAAAAGTTTTTGTTTGCTCCTTCTGCCATGTGAAGATACAGCAAGAAGCTGCCATTTATGAGTCCAGAATGGTCCCAATCCATCACTAAAACTGCCAGTGCCTTGAACTTGAACTCAGCTCCTAGAACCATGAAAAGCAAACTTCTCTTTGTTATAAGCTACTGAATCTATAATACTTTGTTTTGTTACAGAGCCCAAATAGACTGACAGGCATCATGTATTTTTTATTGCTCAGGTCTACCTAGATTCCAGGAAAAGGCAGCGTCATGTCTGCCAGAGGCAGGGGGAGGATATCATTTGTACTATGTATTATACATAGAAGATTTACAATACATTTCTCGTTAAATGGGTTGATTATATCTGGTGATAGACCTTAGTAACATTTTAAAATCAAGCCAGTAGGAGACACCATGAAATGCATTCAACCTGCATTTATGGAAGGGTGAAAAGCCTGCTGAAATTGCATAGGCGCAAAATGGTAAATGCACATAGGTAAAACCAGCAGTCAGCAGGCCTCGCTGTCAGCAGGACTGTAAATTATCTACCACTTACCGCACAAACACAGTCATTTCAGCTCTGTTTTCAATGAAGACATCGGACTCTGAAGGCCTGGGAGGATCCGATTGCTGCTCAGAGGGGATGTACAGGGAAATGGTAATGCTAGATTCACTGAAAGGACCTGCGCCCGGCTCCACGTAGCTTGTCACTGGAGCTGTCAGCTTTATTTTCATCTCTGTGCCATGAAAATGGAAGCAACTTTAGTGTATTCATGGCTGCTTTGAATTTTTAAACTATCCTTTTTTTGAATATATATTTTTATTGAATTTCTGTGCACTTCCTACAATCCATCTTAATCATATTCAGATCCCTCCCCTATCTGAAAATTTCTTGATTGGTACTTTATAGTACCAATCTAAACATGCAGAATTGAGATCATTTCCCATATTTAAAAAAAAGCTGTAGAATGACACAATGATTCCAATCTCATTAAATATTTTCTGTTCTTGCTATTTGGGGGGTTAATAAATTGTATACTTTTAGAGATAAAGGAGGAAATTACAGATAACATGGGTCAATTCATTCTTTTTCTTTACAACTTAGAAAATGAGGCTAAGAAACCTGAAAAATCACACACGCACACACACACACACACACACGCACACACTCAGGTGCTTACCACTGACAAACATCATGAACTGAGACCCCTACGCTTGCCTATCTTCTGCTCCCTGGTATCTCTTATCTGCCAGTCACTAAATTATCCCCGGTATTCACCACAGGAAAGGATTTCTCAGTTACATAGAGCCCCAGTTCCTCCAGCAGAGACAGGGGGAGGGATAGAGGCTGAAAAATACTACTCCACAGTACCCTTTTCTTGCTACACTAACATTCCTGAGGCAAACTGTATATAAGATTAGGGTTTTGATAGTTTGGTTTTTTATCTGTTACAAAGAAATTTCTTCTAAGCTAAAACTCAGTCAGTACCCTCAGGGTCTCAATCAGAGCCTGGTTTTACCTTTCTCATTTTTGCCTTGAATGTAACCGTTCAGTTTTGTAAAGCCAGTCTGGATGGCTGAATCCCAGTCCATAGACTCCACACAAGTGCTGACCCATTTGGCTGGTCCGTAGTGGCGGATTTCATAACTTCCGGGCTAAAACGAACAGAGAAAACTTCCAGAAGCAATTGCCTCCAAGACAAGAGGAGGTGAGACACAGCAATACAGGTAATCTTGACCTCTGGTCTACCTAAAGCTGGTCTACCTCATGTGAGGGTCTAGCCTTGTTTTTTTCTCTGTCTCTGTCAGAAGATTTCAGGTGACAAGTTTATGGCTAGAACGGTGACACAGCTACCTAGACCTGTGTTTGTAGAAGATGATTGCTATGATCACACTCCTGACATCTAGCTAAGGATGGGAACCTTACACCTCCCGGTCCTAGACAGCTGTGGTAAGAAAAAAAAAAAGCCACTCATCTGCAATTTCCTGCCCTTGTTTTTACGAAAATTTTTAGTTTTGAGAAATAGAACTTTTACAGCGCTGCTTCTGAATATGAATGATGCTTATGAATACACAGTCCTATAAAATGTGTGAACTCCCCCGAATCCAGGCTCAGAACTTTGAGACAACAGTGACTCTGGGCCAGGGTTAGTCTGACTAAACCTGCTTCCTGAATCTCAAGGTGTCACCTTGTCTGTTCCGCAACACTGGGTCTTAAGGACCCGGTAGGGTTTCATCCCTGCTTGGAATGAAGGCCTGCCAAGACCCTAGAGCCCCTTAAACGAAACTAGCATCCTTTACAGCGCATCTCGGCCTGGAGGGTCCCAGCGTGGGCATCTGGGATGTAACCAGTTCCTTGCTCCCTACCCCCACGCAGACACAGGAAGTGGAGGTATGGCTCTCACCTGGTGGACAGCTAAGCAACTGCATTTCCCTGTTTGCGCACGGTCTAAAATCCTACTTTTTACTTAACTTTTTGGGACTCATTGATCTCCGATAAAGCAGCCCAGATGCAGCCCGGGGTTGGCCTACCTGGGGCCCCGCGTCCTTCGGAGCCTTCCAGCCCGGCGTCTCCACCGCCTCCACCTCCGTGCTCTCCGTCGCCCCTCGGTCTGGCTCGGTCACCTCGGCCATGGGCTCGCGTTAGGATGCGCCCCTGGGGCACCCCCGCCTACGCGCACCAGGCCGGATCCTGGCGTCCCTGAGTTCCCGCCCCGCCCCGCCGGTGCGCACGCTCTGCGGGACACTCCCGGATTTGCGCCGCGAGGGGGCGTCGCGACCCCGAGGGAGCCGGGTTCCCGACCCTTCAGCTCCAGGCGGGAGCTGCGGACAGGCCCGCTGGCCCCGCTTCCCAGCCGGATTCCTCCCGCCCGGGTCCTAGTTTTGCCGGGATCCGGCGCAGGGCTGAGCGCCGGGCAGCGGTGGGCGGAAGCCCGAGGTTTCGGTGGAACCGGTCTGGGCGCCGCTCCCCGGCCGCCCGCGGGGTGAGTGCCTCTGCCACCCGACCCTTCCTGCCGCGGGTGAGCAGCCACCTCCTCGCCACTGCGCGGTGATGTGAGGGTGCACTTATGACTCTGACCTTGGCTGCCTTACGAGCGCTCTCCCGCGTGGATTATATCCCCAGGTCCCAGAGAATCCTGGGCTATCCTGCTTCCTTGACCTTTTCCAGAATTGACCCTAACCCCCCTGAATTATCCTACCAGAGGGGGGAGGTGGGGGGAGGGAAGCAGACCCTAATACTTTCACATATATGGGTTAAGTTTCTTTTTCCAAGAGGCTTCTTAAAATAAATTTACATATCATACAATTCAACTTTTTTTCTTTGGAAAATTTCGTACCTATATGCAATGTATCATATCACCCTTCACTCCTTCCTCAGCTCCCCTCAGTTCCCGCCTAACATCATGCCCTCCTTTTATTATTTATTTAACCTGTTAAGTCCGGTTAGTGCTGCCCCTATGTGCATGGTCGTGGGGTCATCCACTGGGGCATGAGGAACCTACCAGTGACCCCACTCCTAAAGAAAAGTGACTCCCTCAGGAGCCTTCAACTGCCCAACTCCTCAGCTGAGGGTGGGGGGCTCAGGAGTCACTTCCCGTTTCCACGCTGGACTTTTAAATCTTTATTTTTAATTATACGTGTGTAAGTTAACTCACGTCTCCAAGGTGTACAGTTCAATAAACTGAGCATAGTGATGCACACCTGTAATCCCAGCACTTGGGATGTGAAGGCAGGAAAACAAGTTCAAGGTCATTCTTCACTACACAGTGTGAAGCTAGCATGGGCTATATGAGACCCTGCCTCAAAAAACACAAAACCAGTAATAATAAGGATAATAATAAAAGTGTATTGTCAATGTTTTTTTCAGTGTGTTTATGGAATTGTGCAACTATCATAAAACTAGAACGTTTGAAAATCAGCCACACACACCTTTTAGCCTTTAGCCACCCCCTATTTACCCAGCCCCCAGCTCTAAGAAGTTACCAATTTACTCTTTGTGATTTGGTTAGAAGCCAAAATTTCTAAAACAAACAAAAAAAACACTAGGGCTACCCCTTCTTACCCCTAGTCCTGGTGGGATGTGGCTGTGTTTGGAGTTATTTCTGAATAAGCAAGGAACCAGGATAATTCAAAATTCTCCAGTCATTGAGTCCCCACCCACCTCCTAGACACTGTGTGAACTGAATCGTAGCAGTGTGTTCTCCTGTGTGACTAACTTCCTTTGCTTAAAATATTTTCAAGGTTCCTGCATATTGTGGCATTGCTTCTTTTTATGGTCAAATAATGTCATTGTGTAAACATTTTGTTCATCAACTGGTGGCTCTTCAAGCTGTCAACTTTGAGCTATTATGAATGCTTCTATAAGCATTTGTGTACAGCTTTCTATGTGGACATGTTTTTATTTCTCCTGAGAAAATACCCAGGGGTCAAATTGCTGGATTAATAGTAACTTTACAATGAACTTTTCTGGAACTTCCAAGCTGATTTTTAACCATTTGGCATTCTTACCAGCAGAGTATGACTATTCTATTTTTTTACACCCTCACTACTTAGTTGGCTCTTATAAATTATGTCGTGGGTATAAAATTTGTTCTGGAGTTGTGATTCACATTACATGAAATTCACTATTTTATAAGGATCGATTCAGTGACTTTTAGCAAATTCACTAGATTCTACAACCATTGCCACTAATTCCAGAACATTTCATTATTGCAAAAAGAAATCCCATACAACTGAGCAGTCACTGTCATATCTCACCCCCACCCTTGCCCCAACCCCTGGCACCTACTGACCTACTTTCTCCACCTACAGACTTGCCCAGAATATGGACATTTTGTGTCATTGGAGTCATCTAATGTGATCTGTTGTGGCTGGCTTCTTTCAAGTAGTGAAAACAGTGTTTTCAAGCTCTACCCGAGCTGCAGTGTCTGCCAGTACTCTATTCTCGCCTATTGCTGGAAAATATCTCATTGTTTGGGTCTGGTAGTTTAAGCAATTTATATTCTTTCTTTCTTTGTCCTTCCCTGCTTGAACAGCTGTGCAAAGACCTCAGGACACATGCCATTGTCTAGTGGTTCTATCAAATCTATTATCATGCAGGGGTAAGCTTTGAATTATTTAGTGAAGCCTCAATAATGAATTTTGACTTATGTTTTTAAAATAGCCTGTTTATTTGTGCAACAGCTGTGATCCATTGTTTAGGGAGCTTTGTAAAGTTGAGAACTTAATACTTGTTGCAGGATTTTTTTTAAGAGAAAAGAAAGTAATTTATAGTATTAAGAATTATTTTCTTTTAATCTCCAAAATATCTTTTTTGGAGGAGGGATGATTTTATTTACAGAAAAACAAGCTAAATTGGAAATATTCTTGTTATATTTGTGAGATGTACAATTACAAGAGATACCAGCAGGTGTCTGGGCTGAATTGTCTATATTTAAAAGTGGTAATTATTCATATGCAAGAACAGAAGAAAAGAAAGGTTTAATTCAAATTAGTGGGATTTTTTTTTTTTGGAGCAAGCAGAATAAAATCTAGGACATTCAAGTTTTATACCCATATTTCAAAATAATTAAGTTTCCTACTGGTAAGTATGAGAATGAGCAAGTATATTAGTTATTTTTCTCATTATGGTGACAAACACCTGACAGCTTAAGGAAGGAAAGCTTTATTTGGGCTCATAGAAGGCAGGAAGGCATGGTGGCAGGTGTGTAAGGTGATTGGCCACATTGCATCCACAAGCAGGAAGCAGAGAGAGGACAGGAAGTGGGGCTGGGCTGTAAAACCTTGAGACATCACGCTCCTCCTCAGTGACCCATTTTCTCCAGAGTGGTCCATCTGCTAAAGGTTCCATAGTCTCCCAAAACAGTGCCACCAGCTGGGGACCAAGTGGTCAAACACATGAACCTGTGAGGAACATTTCACATTCAAACCACAACATTCAGCCCCTGGCCTCCATAGACTCATCAATCAAAATGCATTCATTTCAACTTTATGTCTCTCATCTATAGTTTTTAACAATCTCAACACTTTCGTAAAGTTCAAATTCTCTTCTGAGACTCAAGGCAATGTCTTAATATGAGTCCCTATAATTAAAAAAAAATGTACTTCTAATATATAAAACAATGCCATATAATAGGCATTCTCATTACAAAAGGAAGGAATGGGGGCACAGCAAGGAGAAATTAGTCCCAAACAAGACCAAAACCCATTAGAAAAAACACCAAATCTGGCAGCTCCATGTCTGGCATCTGGCACTCAGGATAGAATTATCTAAGCTCCCACAGCTTTGAATAGCTTTGCCTCGCCAGCCTTGTAGCCTACAGCACATACATCCTCTTTCTTGGGCTGCCTTTACTCTATGCCTAAAGCTTTCCTTAGTGAACATCTCTTAGTTCTGGTATCTAAAAAGTCCTGGGATCTCCGTTGCAACTAAGGCTTTACCTTCCCAAATTCATGTGATAATCTCTGTGCTCAATAGCTTTAGTGTCAACTTGACACACCTGGGTTGAGGGGTCCTCAATTGGGGAATTGTCTCCATTGGACAGGCCTGTGGCCATGTCTGTGGGGCATCTTCTTGATTGTTGTGCGATGTGGGAGGGCCCAGCCCATCATGGGTGGTGCCACCCCTGGGCAGGTGGGCCTGTGTTGCATAAGAAAACAGGCTAAGGAGGGGTCAGCGGAGCAAGCCTGTAAGCAGCATTCCTCCATGACCTGTGCTCCAGCTCCTTCTTCTAGGTTCCTGCCCTGAGTTCCTACCTTGGGCTCCCTGATGAACTGTGACCCGGGAGATGTAATATAAAATAAACCCTTTCCTCCACAAGTTGGTACTGGTCAGAGTATTTTGTCACAGCAATGGAGAGACAAACTAGAACAGAAATTGGTACCAGGAGTCGGGTACTGCTGTGACAGACCTGACCTTAGTGTTTTGGGGAGGATTGCAGAAGCGTTTGAAACTCTGGGCTGGAAAAGCCATTGAGCGCTTAGAGTTTGTTGCTGTAGAGCTTGGACAGTTATGCTGAAAGAGTTGTGAACAATGGAGGCCGGGCTTGTGAAGCTTCAAAGGGAAGCAGAGACTATCAGGACTGTTTGTGTGATGTTTTGAACTGAGAATCTGTGGGTTCTGGTCAGCTGGGGCTGAAGAATCAGCTATGATTAAGAACAGACCAGAACCTGAAGTAAAACCTTTGCTTTACTGGGACAATTGATGCTGGTTAGCTGGGGCTGAAAAATCAGCTGTAAGTAACAAGAGACCAGCATCACTATGGTGAAATCTTCTGGGAGGTATTTCCTCAGGGTCAGCACACAGAGGGGGCCCAAGCCTCCATCTCTAGCTGGAAGCAGGACTTGGTAATGTGTAAAAGTCACCTGCATGGTTCTGATATTGAAAGCATGACGGGATCACAGAGAGCAGCTGAGGCTTGGCACTCTGAGAGGCCAGGAAAGGCCATAGGTGAAAGTGCAGCTTCAGTTGCAGTGAAGACCCCAGGATTGAAGGGGCCATGGAGACAATCTGAGGCTTTGTACCCCAAGAGGCAAGAAGAGGCTATTGGTGAAGGTATAACCTTAGTTTCAGTGGAGACCCCAGCTTTTTGGACATGCCAGGACTGTGGGACAACCACTAAGGACAGCAGTAGGTGTGGAATGGAGCTGGCCTGGGTGTGCAAGATGAACTGTGTATGCTGTGGATGGCAGAGTCAGAAAAGTGGAGCCGCCAGAACCCTTTGAAGCCCAGGAGATCGTGAGTGAATCCCAGATGTCCAGCTTTGAGCTACTTTGCTGGACTTTGGTTTTGCTTAGGTGTCCCAGATTCTTTCCTTTGAAATAAGACATTTCTAAGGAACTGGGGAGCTGATTTAGTGCTTGTTGATGAGAGTGCTTGCTGCTCTTCCAGGGGACCAGAGTTTGATTCCCAGCACCCATGCTGAGTGGCTCACAACTACATGTAACTCCAGCTCTGGGGGATCCAGGATGCCTCTA